GGATCATTTTTTATCTTATAATTGAACACTCCTCCATAGTTTCACTGCCCGAGTTCCAGTTTGTGCTTCCAATAAAGTTGATGCCAAGTGGTATTTCTTGAATTGCTGCCAGCTCATGAGAAAACAACAACAACAGCACTGGTGTGCGTGATATATTGAGAATGTCTTCTCACCAAAGGAAGGCCAAACAGTATCACAACAGGCCATATGAACTAGGTTTTTCAGCAGTCTAATTAGAGAAAAGTGGAGGAAAAATTGAATCATCAAGTTGTAGTACTCCAAACTTAAATGAACTTTCATCATTACACTCGATTCCATGGTAATGTTGCAAGCAGAATTTAGTTTCAAACAGGATCGTTTATTATAGAAAACTGAAGTTATCTTGCTTATTTTGTAGCTTTGTTTATACTTAGTCGAAGTTGTTTCCTATCGGTGAGTATATAAAAACCATTAGCACGTAAAGTTTATACCTTGTTTATCTAAGCATACATTTAGTAGCATCTCACCTTATCCCTTCCTAGGCAAGATACATAACCTCTTTATTCCTTGGTTTCCTGATCTATATTAAAGGAGTAATAGTATTATTTACTTCATTAGATTTTGGGAGAATTAAATGATTTAATATATGTAATGTGTTCAGAGGATTACCTGAAATTATACTAAGCATTATATGAGTTAGATCTACCCTTGCTATGCTTTTACTATTACTACAAATAAAATAACTTAAGCCAAAGCTGCAGCTTCATTAGGATTTTTTTCCCTTTGTAAGTATAGACTTGAGTTTGATGTCTTTCTCTTCTCAACCACTGCTAGAGAGCTTCGCACCAAATCTGTGGCAAGAGTGGAGGATATTATAAGGTGTCTTCTTTGGTCTTATTTTTGGCTCCATTTATGCTCCCAGCCATATTTTCATTTTTTCTTTGCTTGTACTTTTAATTTATGAGGTCTTACTGCAGCTTATATGTCCTTTTAAGCTATTTTTAAAAGTCTGTTTTGGAACAAAAGGTGTGGTACATACAAATCAATAAAAATGCATATCTACTCTTAGACTGTGAGCGTAGGACATTTAATAGACAATAAGTCTCACTGGGACATATTACCACATCCAGGAAAGATCTCAGAAGTCATTTCCTGGACTGTGAGATCTTTTCTCAGGAGTAGAAGTATAATAGAATTGACCACAATTATCTTCTTTCCATTCTGTGAATATTGCAAGTGTTTGTTCCATTTCTTTTAAAAAAGGAAAACACCCTTATATAGTATGTTTTTTCTATTTTCTTTTAACTCTCTCACAATGAGTTCATTCAAGAGATTTAGGATTTGTCTATATTTTATTTAGATTTCTAAATTTTTAGTTATTTCTTTATTTTTTTCTTTGAGAAGGAAATATAGGCATTGATGATGAAAATAGTATGATTCAGGTCCAGCAGAATAGAATATCACTTATGATGACAGTTATATAATTTCCTTTTCCTGATCTTTCTGCTCCATTTTCTGGGCCGGATTTCAACCTCAAACATTTTGTACTGAGATAAATGAATACCCTGTAAGAGACTTTTAGCTACCTATTAGAATTTGTTAAGTGAGATGAGAAATAACATGTTTCATCAGGTGTTGAAATTTGCTACTTATAGTCCTTGGGAAAAAAGTATGTATCAGTGTATCTAGAACTATTTTGCCTTTAAAGCAATTATCACTTTGTGTTAGAAGCTGAGATGGAAGAAAGGAAGTGATAAATTTACTTTAAAAAGTGTCATCTATATCCACCTATATCCATTATTCTACAATTAAAATTTCCTACTCAACCTGACATTCAGCCTCAGTTCATTTATTTTCCCCCTTCAACAGTATTTATTTTATGTGTGATTTATTAAGACAATAAAAAAGAAAAGAGAAAAATTGAACTTGAGGACTTCCAAATAATGACTTTTAAGTGTTTTTTTGTGCTTCCCCATATCCAACCAATTCAGATATTACATCATGCCTTCTATAAGGAATTGACTTTTTTTTTTATTGATTATTGTAATCTCTGCCTGCTAGACTTACCCAGGAATAACAGCAGAATACCTACTTTCTCAGCATCACCATCTGTTCTTTGTGTGATCAATGTATACCTTCTGCTGGTAGCATAAAGTTAGATAGCCACAAATGGCTTTTCCCAGTGTCCTTGTGAAGTGAAATCACCAACCTCAGGTTTCCTTGAGACATGTAAACAAAAAATAATTTTGACACACAGAGGTTTTCATTCCTTTCTGATGTGTGAATCAGCCTGATACCAAAATGACATGTGGTAGGGTGGTATTAACAGTGTTAATAGATGTGTATGCTAGATTTACCAATCTCTTCCCTCCACATTTCATGGATTATATTCCCAATGCTAAATATGCCCCTCCAAGCTTCCTTGAAATCTTGACAGTTCAAAGCTTTTAAATTCAAGAACCGAATTCTACATGTGAGACAGGAACTATTTATTTATTTTTTAAAAAAACGTTTTTTAAATGTTTATTTATTTTCGAGATAAAGACAGAGTGCAAGGGAGAGAGGGGCAGGGAGAGAGAGGGAGACACAGAATCCAAGCAAGTTCCAGGTTCTGAGCTGTGAGCACAGAGCCCGACACAGGGCTTGAATTCACAAGCCATGAGATCATGACCTGAGCTGAAGTCTGACACTTAACTGACTGAGCCATCGAGGTGCCCCAAGACAAGAAATAATTTTAAAGGATTGTGAGTGGGTAGACCACGTCAATGGGTCCATATGGCACAAAGTGGGGAGTCCCTCTCATATTGGCCCTGATACTCTATTTGAAATAGACTTCTTCCCAGATAAAAAGTTCTGAATTACCTATTAAAATTTAAATATCCCTTGGAGAGTAACATTAAACTACTTTCAATCAATGGAATTAGTTTATCAGATTTTAAAAAAGTAATTACATATTTCTTGCTCAAAAAACAAATTCAAACTATACAAAAGGGTATAAAGAGAAAAAGCTTCCTCCATTACCATACTCAGATTCCACTCCACTCTTGGGTATCTCCCAGAAATTTTCTCTGCATTTGCAAGTATAGTATTTGGGTTTTTTGAGTTTTTTTTAAAGTAATTTCTACCCACAATGTGGGGCTTGAACTCATGACCCCAAGATCGAGAGTCACAGGCTCTACCATCTGAGCTAGCCAGGCACTCCTGCTGTATTAAGTTTCAGCTTAAATTTTTTTAAAAGTGGGACAATTCACACATTTAAATAATAATAGTCTTTTCCCTATACTTGCCTCTTTTATTTTACTTTCAGGGGAAACTGATATTAACAGCCTTTCTCAATGTAATTACCTTATAATGTCTGATTTGTAAGAATGAGAGGATACTCTATACAGTATTTGGTATTTGTTTTTTAACCTAACAATATGTGGACATCCCTAAAGGGTAACAGATAGAGAATCTTACTTTTTTCTTTTTAACAACTACATAGTATTGCTTAGAGCAGATATTTCATAATTAATTGCCACTACAGCAATGTTGTAACAAATATGCAGTAGTCTTATATTCTCATGCTTTTATTTTGATAAGATAGATTCCCAAAAGTGAAATTTGTGGGTAGAAGCATATGTGTGTATTACATTTTCATGTATTACATATGACCAGATTTCAAAAGTCTGGCAATTCATCCTTAAGTACCACCAGGAATATCTGAGTGTGAGTGTTTTCCAACATCCTTGACAGCACTTGATTTTTATCATTCTTTGTAATTTGCCTACAGCTTTTACCTGTATTTGTCTAGTAGTTTGAGCATTGTTTATGATTATTGTCCAGTTGAATTTACTGTTTTGTGAAGTAGCCATTCATATCCTTTGGCAATGTTTCTATTGAGTTGCATATATATTATTATTAATTTTTAGAGTTCATTGTATATTGATGGTGTAATTGTTGACAATATATGTTGTAAGTATATTTTCCTTGTTAATGATGCAAGAAGAAATCTAGAGTAGTGCCCAGTTTTTGGAGCTAGATACTCTGAGTTCAAAATCTAGGCTTATTATTTATTGGTTGTGTGATCTGGGACTACAGATTCATCATCTTAAATATGGGGAGATAATAGTACCTAATTCATAGAATGGGATAAGGATTAAATGACTTAATAAATATAAAACATGTTGAAGAGCATCTGGTGTACAGCATGCTAAGTTTTATACTACGAATTTATTAAACTAGTTTTTTTTCAGTTTCCATGTCTGTCATCACATCCTGTGATGAAAAAGAATAGTTTTGTTTTTATTTTCCAATATTTATGTGAATTTTTTTGGTCCCATGTATTAGCTCTGAAATGATGTTGAATAATGTCAATGTGAGTATTCCACATTGTTCCTAATTTCAATAGAAATGGCTCTGGTTTTACTGCTTAATTTGACACTGGCTCTTGGTTGTGGCAAACAGTCTCTGTCATATTTTCGCCTCACTTCTATTTTATTTGGAGGATTTTAATTTTTTTAATGTTTTGTTTATTTCTGAGAGAGAGAGAGAGAGAGAGTGAGCAGGGGAAGGTCAGAGAGAGAGGGAGGCACAGAATCTGAAACAGGCTCCAGGCTCTGAGCTAGCTGTCAGCACAGAGCCCGACGCGGGGCTCGAACTGACTAACCATGAGATCATGACCTGAGCCGAAGTTGGACACTTAACTGACTGAGCCACCCAGGCACCCCTATTTGGAGGATTTTAAAATTAGGAATGTATGGTGTAGTTTGATATATCTTGTTTTAGTATACTATCATTACAATTATAAGAATGCTCATTTTCACACTCAATTTGTTGGTATAATGAATTGTCCTGAAAGACTGTTTATACTAAAGTATCATTGTGTGTCTAGAATAAACTCAAATTGTTTTTCTTTTTATTTACTGCTGCATTAGATTGATAATATTTTACTTAGAATTTTGCATCTATATTCATAAAAAATTGATTTATAAGTTTCTTATCTGTACTACCCATTGGGTTTTGTTAATAAGGTGTTGGCTATCGTTTCTCGGCCTTTTGGCTATGATCAAGTGTAGTATCTGTTCTTATCAGTTTAATAAGGTGTTGGCTATCTGGATAAAATAGAGATTAATGCATTTTTCTATGAGCTAGAGTACGTTAAAAGACGTGACTCGTCAGTATTTTAAGACTAACTGTATCTGTAAAGCCATCTGCGTCTGTAGATTTTTTTAAAGGTACATCTTCAGTTATCTTTTACGATTATTGGTCTGTATATATTCTTCATTCTTTTCTTGGATTAATTTTGTTAATTTATATATTGCTGAAAAATTACTCCATCAATAAACTTAGATTTTCAATTTTATTGCCTTGAGTTGCAGAGATTTCTCCCCCACAATTTCTATAGTCTCTTCCATATCTGTGGTTAAATCTGTATCTTTTTTTAATGTTTATTTATTTTTGAAAGAGACAGACAGAGTTCCAGCAGGGAAAAGGCAGAGAGAGAGGAGGACAGAATCCAAAGCAGGCTCCAGGCTATGAGCTGTCATCATAGAGCTGGACGCGGGGCTCCAGCATGAACCCACAAACTGTGAGATCATGACCTGAGGTGAAGTTGGACACTCAACTGTCTGAGCCACCCAGGCACCCCTAAATCTCTCTTTTTTTTTTTTTTAAATCCACGTATATTTTGCTTTCTTTCTTTTTTCTTAATCAATTTTTTTTCCTTTTCCTTAAAGAACTCACTTTTAGAAAGATTGCGTTTCAAATAAGAGTTAATTGAAATAGAAAAATGTGAGACACAGGCAGAAAGGAGAGCAAGCCGAGAGAAAGGCCCTGAGATGGGAAGGGGACATCCGGCTCACAGCTACACCTCACCATTTTGCCTATGATTAGTATTTCAGAGGCTAGACAAAGCCATTATGTTCTAGCTATCAGATTGTCAGAGGTAGCTTGCCACAGTCCTGGGACTACAAAAAGATTTCAACTCATGTAGCAGCTTAAATAGATTGGAACCTGCACTCCTCTGTGTTGATTAAAATACTGTAACCATATTTCTGACAATAGGTGTATTTAGTAGATTTTGGCCCAAGTTTCTTTCTTAGCTGTGCCTGGAAGACTGTAGGCACTCAACCAATAATTGTTGGATTGTATGAATCTCTGCTGAATAGTCTTAAACTCGCCGGGCCTTGCCATTGGCATCTATAAAATGGAGAGATGATACCAACCTCATGGGTTTATTTTAAGGATAAAATACAATGATTACTTCTGTATGCAAGTATTTTCTCAATTATTTAACAGTTATGAAAATGTGAAATCTGTGGCTTGAAACCTACCTAACTTAGACTGCTAGACTGCTGAGTCATCTACCTAACACTGATTGTATTTTTTTCTCTGACCATTGTTTAAGAGTTTATCATTTGATAAGAAGCAGTTTACAAAATAAATACATTTCAGCAGCAATAGAAAGCTCATTCCAATTTGGGGCAGCAAGTAGGGTCTGCCTGTTATATGGGAAGATGTGACCTCAGGGCTTCCTCAGTTCCCAAACTTCATCCTGTATACATTTTTAAAATTTACTAATTAGGTCAAACAATATATTTGACCATAAAACCACACATTGACCTAATTTGACATATTCTTCTCTCATTTGAGGTCCTAAAATTTCATCTGGCAGGATAATTAAGAAAATCATTGTGATTATTGAATCTTTGAAATGTAATTTTCTTCTTCCATAAGATCAGATTTTCTCCTTGATATCTAATTTGGCCAAGGGGGGTAAAAACTCCATGTCATTTTGGCTTCAAGCGCTTAAAGAACACTGGCAATTGGTGGCTTAAAATGACTGTTGTAAAATAAATGCCTGCAAGACAACACAATCATATCCAGTTTCAGCAATGGTGAGCATTGGGTGATGCAGTCACCAAACCAGGGCTTTCAAAATCTTTGTATATTTACATATGATTTTCTCCCCTGGAGAACCAATCACACATGCTCACTTTAAACTTCAGTAAACCAGTTGCTATATATAGAGATCAGGACATCAGATGTCCCGACCAAGATCACCCTGCTTACACTGAATATTAGCAAAGCTCAAAATGTGGTGGATAGAAAAAGTTGTCCCCTCCTTTTAGATGCTAGAGCTTAGTCTAAGCTCGGTTATCCATAAGCAGGGAACACTCTTCTACTGAAGGTCATTTTGAGGTCAACATTATTTTTCAACAGTAACACAGTCCTCTCTTAAGTTGGCAGTTGTCATTTTCCCCGTTTTAACCTTTCCTTTGACCTGGAAATCCTAAGGCAGGCCATTGATGGCGGACCTTTATCAGGCTGCCCTAGAGTTAAAGCCATGACTCATTCTTAAATTCAGAGAAAGAGAGCTCAATGATTAACAGAGGCAGCAAGAAGGGCTGTAGTAGAAACCCATTCCCGAGGGCCCAGAAAGTGCTGCTTGTTGACATACAAAGTTAGGCCTTAGTATCAGCAGGCAAAGCTGCTTGCTCTCACTAACTCACTGGCCTCTGTCCCTTTGTGTATGGATCAGCTTTTCCATTGAGGTCAGAGAGCATGAGCCCCTTACACAGAGGAATGTGCTGTCCTCCGTGTGGGGTGCCTGGTCCCTGGGCCTTCTGCCTGGGAAGCATTTCTGACCTCACCTCATGTGGAGCCTATGAAATGCTAATTTTTGGAGAAAATCTTCTCTTGAGCACTTTACATGACTCTTAGGAGAAACATGGCTTACCCATTGGAGAGGCTTCTGCAAAATGAGACAGAGTGCTAGACTTTATTTTCAGGGAAGTGGAGTTAGAAAATCCTTAAACTCGGGGTGCCTGGGTGGCTTGGTCAGTTGAGTGTCCAACTTTGGCTCAGGTCATGATCTCACAGTTTATGAGTTCAAGCCTCATGTCGGGCTCTGTGCTGACAGCTCAGAGCCTAGAGCCTGCTTCATATTCTGTGTCTCCCTCTTTCTCTGCCCTTCCCCCACTCATACTCTGTCTCTCTCAAAAAACACTTGAAAAATGTAAGAAAATCCTTATACTCAATCCTCATACTACATATGACACATCTGATGGCCAATCTCAAACATATGGATATTTTAACCTTGAAAGTATTTCAGTGCAGTATCTGAGAGCTATGCATTATAAAAGCATAAAATGTAGTCTTTTTTTTTTTTTGCCAGTTTTCTCAACCTATGATGCCCTAAAAATTAATCCTACTGAACAGAGAAAACATAAAGTGCTTAATACCTTTCATGTGAATTCTACCTTTACTTAAAAGGGAAGCCGCTAGTGGTTTTCATTGGGTGTACCTTAAATTAAGCTAGAAACTCTTATGAAATGGAAGATTTTGGGGATCATTAATATTTCAAACACTTCAGACAAAGCCCATCTAGAATAATTACAGGAATTTTAAAACTTGCAAGCCCATCATGCAGGCAGTAGTTTGGTGAACTAAAGTAGTTTTACCACAAAAAGGAACAATGTCATAAATAATTTTGTGAGTCTTAATAAAAAGAACTTATTAAGAGGAAAGCAATTAACAAAATCTAATAACTGGGAATCTAACTTTAAGAGTTATGAAACTTACCGCTATGAAGACATGCTTGCACACATTGGTGGCTCATATTTTGCGTACTAGTGCAAAATAATAATGATGATCGATGATTTTAAGGGCTTCAATTTGGCCAAACTGTCATATATATAATTCATAAAGTACTAAAATAATATTTTAAAAATAATCATAACTATAATTTCTTAAAAATGAGCATATAACTTATAGTTAGTAGACTTATTAAATTGAGTCAGAACTGTATTATTGGATTCTTAGGTTTATGGGTTCTTATAAGACAAAACTCACAAACCTTCTGGAGTAATCAGAACCATTATAGGGTTAGCAAAAGGATTGGGGATTTGATTAGAGATAGTTATAATCTGAAGTTTTAATTCTGTAGTCACCATTTGTAACACTCAATTACTTGACATAACCAGTTGGATCAGGGCACTAAAAATCATTGGTCCAAATTCAATTACATATCTCAATATTGAAGCTACAGCATTGGTCTTGTTATGAATACCTGCCTCACATTTTAATGTAAAATGTGTGATATTTAACACTTCCAGTATGAATTATATAAATGACAGAGAATTTGGCTAAGTTAAGGTTTTTAAATTATGACTACTTTTTACATTAATACCTGCAGCTTCAGTAACAACTTTGGAAACCAGGTCTTGACAGTGACCAGTTTTAAAAAGAGAGAGAGGGAGGCAAACCAAGAAACAGACTCTTAACTATAGAGAACAAATTGATGGTTGCCAGAGGTGACATGGGGGGGGGGTGTTAAATATGTGATTGGGAATAAGGACTACACTTGTCATGATGAGCATGGGTGATGTATGGAAATGTTGAATCACTATATTGTACACCTGAAATGAATATTACACTCTATGATAACTAAATGGACTTTAAATAAAAACTTTTAAAAACCCAGTGACCAGGTTCTTATAATTCTCAATTATAAGGCAAATTTTTGTCAATGCCTTTCTTTGATTAAATCTTTTAATACCAACGAACAATGAAATGTCCGTTAAACTATTAGGAAATACAATATATTATACTGGATTGTGTAATGCTGAGAAGTTTCTGTCTTCAACGAAATTGTTGGACCTGTCCCTGACTTCCAGGATTATCCACATTATAGTCATTAACTGAAAACTAAAGAACAGAAATGTGCCATTGTGCCCACTATGTGAAAAATAAAATCTCGTAATATCATAGGCATGGAAGTGACTTATCATTTCACATTTAGTGCTTTGTTTGAAGCTGACCCATGACCCATTTGAGATCAAAGTTCATGCAACTGGCAAGTAATGGTGGCATTATTGTGCGTCTGTGACATGTGAAGTGCACAAAAAAGGAATTCATAGACATAAATTGTTTGGCATGAACCAAGTCCCCTCTGAGCCTTAAGGATTTTCTCAAATGCAAAAGCGGATAAAGAATGAGAAATAAATTATTAAAGGTAGCTGGTTTTGTTCTTTTTCTCCCTTCCCAAAAGGCTTGGGATTCCTCCTTCTTAAATATTTTTATGCCTTTCAGAGTGAGTTTCATGGTCCATGACCCACACTTTTACTAAACATGACAGAACTGTTAGCAGTGGAATAGTGCTATATTTCATCTATGTAACATGTTAAATAGGCTTTATGTTTAGGCTTAAACCCTAACTCTGATTTA